CAGCCTGGTTTAATCCTCTCTACGATGAATCTGTTTGTTTTCTTGGCAGTCCATGGTACATTCAATACTCTTCTCCAGCACCACAGCTCAAAGGCGCCAATTCTCCTTCTATCCTCCCTAGTCATTGTCCAACTCTCTGATGCATAACAAGTGATTGCAAAAACCATGGCCTGTATCAGATTGACCTTAGTCTCCAGAGAGACACTGTTGCTCGTGAGTATTTTGGAGAGGTCCCTAACCACAGACTTTCCCATCGCAATATGTTTTTTGATTTCCTGGCTACTGGTGCCAAGAGTGTTGACCGTGGAGCCGAGCAAACTGAAGCTATGAACAATCTCAATCTCTTCACCATCCATCCTAATGCTACCAATTGGTCCAGTGGTGAGAATTTTTGTCTTCTTAACATTGAGCCTCAATCCATATTGAAGGCTGCAGTACTTGACCCTCTGCAGTAAGTGCATGAGGTCCTCCTCAGTTTCAGCGAGCAAGGTTCTAAATGTATGTAGACAGAATAGAAAGGTTTCATCTGTGACAGTGCTGCAAACACTGTATCAGAAGATGGGCAGTATATTTACAGTAAGGGGTCTGAATTCTGTCTTGATTTGACTTTAAAATTTGACTTTGAATAATTATCCTTACCTTATATTTGAACTTTAAACAAATGGAGAAAAGAAATACATTTTTTATAGGACGTTATCAGTACTAAATGTGAGGGTAGATTAAAAATATTAAGCATTGCTTGCTAAAAGTGAGGAGGATTTCAGGCACTTGTTGCAGAAGATCAAAGAAGATGGCCTTCAATGTGGATTATATGTCAACATCAAGAAAACAAAAATTGGGCACAGTAAGGAAGGAAGAGGTGTGGTGCAGTGCCCACAGTACTTTGGAGAAAACATTGCTGTTTAGCTACATCACATGGGACCCCTTAAACTCAAGCAGAAGGGAGTGGGACAGTTCAAGCAGCTCAAGTGAAGTGGAGACACCAGTTCTGTAAGGGAATAAAAGGCTTCCTGATTTCCATTCAGGTACTATGAGGGAATCACTGTTGTTTAGCTACACCATGCGGGGCACCTTAAGCTCAGGCTTCCTGTATTGCCATTCAGGTACTTTGGGGGGAAACACTGCTAACTGCCCAAGAAGGGAACACAAATATACAAGTCCTTCACAAAATATTGCTATACTCTGGGTCACTATATAGTTACAACAACCTAACATTTACTAAGAAAAGGCTCACATACTGTCAAGAATGAAGCAGTTGGCCTCAGTTATTATGAAAAAACAAAATAAGCCTTCTCTTAAAGAAAGCAGTCATGATGAATACCCCAGATAAATAGAACCAGAAGAAATATGTTTATATAGAGTTATTTAAACAGCTACAGAAGATGCAAATGAAGGAAGAAACAATTAAGAAAGCAAATACCCAAGACAACAATCCAAAAGAAATAAACTGAGGAGCAGCAACTTGAATAGTTACGGAAGAAAATGCAAAAGAAAGAAGAAAGACTTGATAGTGTAGAGAAAGAGGTACAAGAACTTTAAAAATCATCGTAAGACAGAGAGGGTACAGCCAACACAGTACTGGAAATAACAGAAGATCAGGAAAATACAATCCAAACTATTAAGACCACAATGGCAGAAGTGTCCAACACACTGGTAGGACAAAAATGTAGAACAGAAGAAATGGAACAGGGAGTCAGTGAGCTGGAAGACAAGAGCCTTACTGGATGCTTACTAGAAGAAAAATGAGAAAAGACATAAAGAAGATAAGAAAACATTTGAATTATGTGGAATAACATAAAAAGGAATAACATATGTATGATTGAAATTCCAGAACAGGGGAGTGGCAGGGAAATCACTGAGAAAATTGTGGAAGAAGTACTTGAAGAAAACTTCCCAGGGATTTTGAGGATTGAGAAATCCCCATTCAAGAAGCACAGTGAACGCCAGATAGACTGGACACCCCCCCAAAAAGAACCCATTAAGACATATCATAGTCAAATTCTATAAATTAGTCACAATGTTAAAAAACTAGAAGTTAAAACAAGAAAGTAAAGTCTACAAAACCGCCCATGTGAAAGCTAAATAACTCTCTGCTAGAACATGATTGGATTGTGAAAGAAATAAATAGTGTATTTTTTTAAAGTTCCTTGAAACAAATGAAAATGAAAATACGACATATCAAAACCTCTGGGGTACAGCTAAGGCAGTCCTCAGGGAACACTGTATAGCAATAGGCACATACATAAAAAAGGAAGAAAGAAAGAAAAAAAATCAATTCTTTAACTCAAAATTGTGATCAAGCAGAAAAATAAGAAAAATCTAATCCTACAACCACCAGAAGAAAAGAAATTACAAGGACAAGAGATGAAATCAATGAGATAGAAAAGAGAAAAACAATGAAAACCATCAATAAGACCAGGAGCTGGTTTTTCAAAATGGTCTATAAAAATGACAAGCCACTGGCAAATTTAACAAAAGATAAAAAGGAGACGATCCAAATAACTTCATTAAGAAATTATAGAGGTGATATCACAACCATATGAGAATTAAATTGATAACATCAGACTACTGTAAAAAGCTATACGCTGATAAATTTGAAAACCTAGAGGAAATGGATAAATTGACCCAGATTGACAAGAACAGATATAGAACACTTGAACAGAGCCATCATAAAAGAAAGAAATAGAAAAGGTCATAAAATATTGCCCCATAAGAAAAGGCCTGGACCAGATGGCTTCACAGCTGAATTAGACCAAACATTTAGAGAGGATCTATTACCAATTCTACTTAAATTATTTAAAAAAATTAAAAAAGAAGGAACACTCCAAGGGGCATTATATGAAAATAGCATAACCCTAATATGAAAACCAGGCAAAGATATTACCAAGAAAGAAAACTACAGACTCATGAATGCAAGTTTCATGATTATAGATGCAAAAATTCTTAACAAAATCCTAGCCAATAGAATCCAAAAGCACATCGAAAAAATAATTCATCATAACCAAGTAGGATTCATAAGAGGTATACAAGGATGGGTCAACATAAGAAAAACAATCAACATAAGACGGAGTTCCGCTGCCAGATGGAGTTCGCCGCCAGAAGGGCAGGGAAGAGACCCAGAAAGAGCAATAGTCAGCCATCCATGGCGGAACTCCAGAGGAGCGAAGACTACGCGCCACTGTGCGACCCCCCTGCAGCCCGCACCTGTATGACCCCTGACCAGCAGCGCCCAAGCCCCGCCCCCACCTCTTGGTGGTAGTGTCCAAGCCCTGCGCTCCTTACACCCCTAGTCCCTTGCTTCCACGCACCTCAGCCC